GATGGGCATTTGGGTTGGTTCCAGGTCCTTGCTATTGTAAACAGTGCTGCAATGAACATTCGTGTACACGTGTCCTTATAGTAGAACGATTTGTAAATGACAAATTTTAAAGAATCCACAGACTCTTCTCAAAGCTAAGCACTAAGCAGTATTAATGATTCCAGAGCTATTTATTTAGAAAAATAAAGGATAAGCTTATAAACTGAAATGAATCAATATTCTAATTCTAATTTTCCCAGGTCATCACTATTTGAACCACCTTGGAGGAAAAGAGACATGTGCTAGAAGAGACTTGGAGAACTGCAACCTATAAGAAAGTACCAAAAAATATCAGCACAGTAGCAGAAGAGAGCACAAACGTGGCCTCCAAGCAGCCAAAGGACCTATCTGTGGTTTGTGTTTTAAGAGCAGTACCAATGATTATGTGACCTCCTTATAAAATTTCCTCTCCTAGGACTATACCCCATCTCTCCCTTATATGTTGATTCCTTACTTACTGTTCAGTTTGAATAAATACATAACAATCTTATGGATACCAAAATGCTGAAACTTCTGTGTATAAAAGAATAGAAAGAAGAAGGTTGTAGATTATTTCATTCACCTCAAAGGGGGAAAATGGAAATGAATATGTTACAGATGCTACTAAAAGTCATTTCACAGTTGAATTCTATAACAGAATTTAGTAAGGAATGAAAGTTTTGACACATAGGAAACCTAACCTACCTAGGTATCTTATTTTTCTTGGGATCTCTTCTCACAGCATGGACATGATTTATTCAGATTATCAAAGAGCTTCTGATAAGGTTCTCACAAGTGTCTATTATTGAAATTTGGTAAACATGGTGTGAAAGGAAAAGTTTTATCAATTAACTAAATGAATTTCAAATGCTTGAGAGGCAAAGAGGCAAAAAGTAGAAATAAATGGGCAATTCACATGTGGAGAAAGGTTAATCATTGAGGGCTCTGGGGCTTTGCGGTAGAATCAGAGTTATATTTAACTAGACCAGGAAAGGGCACCCAGTTCTCCTTCCCCGATTCTGTGTCTATCAGTCCAACACACACAGCCCCTATTGATGTGAAGAGCATTTGGCACATGGACAAGATACAGGCAATATTTAAAATTACAAAAGTGTTTAAAGTTACAAAAGTATTTAAAATCTAGGAAAGAGAAAATAGATAAATGTTGACTCAGATATTCCTGCAGCCATCCCCAAATACAAACACACAGAAATAAAAACAATAACAGAATTTTAGTTCTTATAACTTTGATGTGTACTACATAGAAACACATGGGCCTTTTCAAAAGACTAGATATGGTATTTGAACAAAATTGTCTAATTTATTGGCATGATGAGAGCAAATTTTCAATATAAAAGAAAAGTTAATGAGGGCATTTAGATCCATAAAAGCCACAAAGCCTATTTGTACATATTGAGAAGACATATAAAGACAAACAAACAGTGAAAGTGACATGAAAAAGTAAGAATAATTACTTTTTTTCAGACAAATGTGAAAAAATGGCACAGATATTACAAAAGAATAACCTAACATTAATGGAAAAACTTGGAAATCAAATAATCTACTTAATTAACATTAATCTTTTATGACCCATAACTCAATGTGGCATTTGCAATGATCCAGAAATAACATCATGATTCACAGGAATGGCTCAGAAATGCAAACCAACTCTTGATTTCACCTCTCTTTGCCTTGCTTTCCTTACATGTAAAATGGAAATAACAGAATTTACTTCACAGGATGAGTATGAGGATTAAATTAGATAATGTATCTAAAGCATTTAACACAGTGAAAGTATGAAATAATGTTAAATTATTACTGTTATTGGTGTTGTTGTTATATTTATGATATACTAAACCCAAACAGCTACAGGACACAGAGAAACAACCTAATTCAAGTCACGGTGACTCTCTTATTTATATCATTGTTAGGACTCAGTATGTAACAAATCATATAAAATGTGCTCAAGTGCTTCTAAACAAACAAACAAAATACCCACAGCTTTGAAATCTCTCCACTAGCCAGCTTTGTAAAATGGAAGAAAATTACAAATTGATCTCAGATAAGCCAAGAATAAAACTAACAAAACACCAGATAAATGCTTATTACATACTAATTCTTAAATGGATGCATACACTATCCAAACTTACCTTTCAGATAATATTTTAATAAGCTCTTTTCTATTCTGTACCCGAAGGTGGTTAGTTTTATACTTGGAGTCATCAATCAGCTCAGGCAAATCCAAGATCTAAAAGGGAAACACAATTTTCAAGTATAAGATAGAAGTTGTTCTTGTACCTGCCTGTAGGTGCTAGTTTTCAGGTCCTATATCTCCCTTCTCAAGAACATTCCTTGCTGGTCTTTATGCTTCTCAACAAGGACATGTAGAGGTAACAAACACACAATTAGGATGGATCATGCTGGTGAAAGGGTTTGTCATTCTAAGAGGCTTTTACTACATTTAAGCAAATATTCTTACACATTGGAGAGCTGCAAAAGACCCCCATAAGTCTTATGCTAAATATGAGAACACAGGAAACATGTTTTCTGATCCCCATAGAGAAAGTCTTGTTGGAGGAAATAGGGAGAGAGATGCTAACTTGGGTAAAATGGACCAAATTCTAAAAACCAATATCATAAGTGCATGTCTGCATGCATCTTATACACAGTCAACGGGTACCTTGTGAATATATTCACTTACTTACTCCACATATAAATAAAATACAGTGATCTTCCAGGTTGTCCTATGCAGAATGTTCTAAAAGGTGCTAAAATAAAGTAAAAGCAAATACATTTGCCCAAATTCTCATCATTTAAACAATAGCAAATTAAAAGATTTTCTTCCTATAGAAGCATGACTATTTTTTATTAATGTATCTACCGGAGGTAATACCAACTAGAAATGCTTTTATAGCCCTCCTCTTTTGCTCCTCCTCAATAAAAGGGAAAATCTATCTTGCAAGTCCCTTTGGACAACGTTCAACATTAACAAGGCCATAATGAAGTACCAAGTGGATTTGGAATGGAAAAGTTTTAAAAGACTGTGTAGAGGCAGTGCTTGGCAGTTGCGTTGGAAAGTCAGAAGGAGCATTTACAGCCTGGGGGCAGGCCATGCAGCCTACAGAAAGCTTCATTGCCTTTATTAATGTATTTGCTTTCAATATAAATATCTAACGGTTTCATTTATTTCCCACAGTTTAAACAAAATCAATCTATTAATCATCTTACAAAGGAGAGAGAAGTGAAGAAGATTCCCCAGTGTAAAGAGACCATCTCAGTGGTGTAATTTCTCTTTCACATGTTCCACTTATTCATTTCCTTTAGGAATAATAAAGACAGCATTACTCTTCCAGATTTTAAAAAGCAACACCACTTACAGCACCCTTTCTAGAAACCTCCCTCTCATGACACCTGATCCAAGAATTGGCCTCATGCCTTGTCCAGCATTTAGACACCCTCTCTCCCTAGGAGTGAATAAGTCATTTCAAGAAAAAAACAAATGTCATCAATAAGTCACAGGTTAAATTTATAAACTTGGCCTCATCTAAAAAGCACCATCAGCAACAAAAAATTACACAGTGACCACACTCAAGGGTAACTGAAATGCCCATGTGTCCTCTGTATTTGACTTATTGGACTTCTTTTCTGTTTCAAAGATGGTGTGAAATTGTTGGCCAAAGTAATTATCCTTCCATCTTCAGCTATGGCAGCTAACATTCAAAATGTTTCTAGAGAGACAGCTTCAAGGACTGTGATCGTAACTATTACTTTGGATCTAAAAAAGAGTGCTGCCTGGGATAAAGTGCTTGACATATTAATCACAAAATAATTGTGAAGTATTCGAATTAGGTACTGTTTCCCCCAAAAGAAATGTTTTGTTTTGGTTTGGTTTGGTTTTTGAGATGGAGTCTCACTCTATTGCCCAGGCTGGAATGCAGTGGCACAATCTCGGCTGACTGCAACTTCTGCCTCCTAGGTTCAATCAATTCTCCTGCTTCAACCTCCTGAGTAGCTGGGACTACAGGCATGCACGCACCACCACACCTGGCTAATTTTTTTTGTATTTTTAGTAGAGGCGGGGTTTCACCATGTTGGTCAGGCTAGTCTTGAGCTCCTGACCTCAAATGATCCACCCACCTCAGCCTCCCAAAGTGCTGGGATTACAGGCATGAGCCACTGAGCCTGGCCTGGCCAGAAAGTTTTTAAAAGCATATATTGGTTCAAAAAAGAAAGGAAGGAGGGCTCTGCAAAAAAAAATAAAGAGACATTGGCAAAAATGAAAAAAAGAAAATAAAAAAATGCCATTAAACGGAGTGGCACACATTTTCTAAAAAGAGGGAAAAAAAATGAAGATCCATGATAATAAAAACTGTCAGTGTTTTAACATGCCTATCATCTAATGCTCCCCTTACAGCAAAAACCAAAATCCTTAAGATAGCCTGAAAGGCTCTACAAGATATGGCACTATTACCTCTCTAACATCACCTCTTACCATGCTCTCCTCCCTTGCTCTTTGCTGCAGTCATTTCATCTTCTTGCTGGACCAGGAACATGTCTATTTCACTTCAGCCTCAGGAGTTTAAAAATAGCTATTCTTTTGCTTGGAACATCCTCGACCAGACATCTAGTTGGCTAGCTCCTCCTTTCCTTCATTGAGTCTGCTCAAATTCAACTTCTTTTATATATATATATATATATATATATTATTTTTTTTTAATTGCATTTTAGGTTTTGGGGAACATGTGAAGAACATGCAAGGCTGTTGCATAAGTACATACATGGCAATGTGGTTTGCTGCCTTCCTCCCCATCGCTTATATCTGACATTTCTCCCCATGTTATCCCTCCCCAACTTCCCACCCCCCAATGTCCCTCCCCTAGTTCCCTGCTACAGGCCCCAGTGTGTGATGCTCCCCTCCCTGTGTCCATGTGTTCTCATTGTTCAACACTTGCCTATGAGTGAGAACATGTAGTGTTTGATTTTCTGTTCTTGTGTCAGTTTGCTGAGAATGATGGTTTCCAGGATCATCCATGTCCCTACAAAGGACACGAATTCATCATTTTTTTATGGCTGCGTAGTATTCCGTGGTATATATGTGCCACATTTTCCCTGTCCAGTCTATCATCAGTGGGCATTTGGGTTGGTTCCAAGTCTTTGCTATTGTAAACAGTTCTGCAATAAACATTTGTGTGCATGGGTCTTTATAATGGAACGATTTATAATCCTTTGGATATATACCCAGTAATGGGATTGCCGGATCAAATGGAATTTCTATTTCTAGGTCCTTGAGGAATTGCCACACTGTCTTCCACAATGGTTGCACTAATTTGCACTCCCACCAACAGTATAAAAGTGTTCCTATTTCTCCACATCCTCTCCAGCATCTGTTGTCTCCAGATTTTTTAATGATCACCATTCTAACTGGAGTGATATGGTATCACAATGTGGTTTTGATTTGCATTTCTCTAATGACCAGTGATGATGAGCATTTTTTCATATGTTTATTGGCTTCATATATGTCCTTTTTTGTAAAATGTCTGTTCATATCCTTTGCCCACTTTTGAATGGGCTTGTTTTTTTCTTGTAAATCTGTTTTAGCTCTTTGTAGATTATGGATATTAGCCCTTTGTCAGATGGGTAGATTGAAAAAAATTTTCCCATTCTGTTTGTTGCTGATTCACTCTAATGATTGTTTCTTTTGCTGTGCAGAAGCTCTGGAGTTTAATTAGGTCCCACTCATCTATTTGGGCTTTTGTTGCCAATGCTTTTGGTGATTTAGTCATGAAGTCCTTGCCTATGCCTATGTCCTGAATGGTTTTTGCCTAGGTTTTCTTCTAGGGTTTTTATGGTGTTAGGTTTTATGTTTAAGTCTTTAATCCATCTGGAGTTAATTTTAGTGTAAGGTTTTTGAAGGGGTCCAGTTTCTGCTTTCTGCACATGGCTAGCCAGTTTTCCCAACACCATTTATTAAATAGGGAATCCTTTCCCCATTGCTTGTTTTTGTCAGCTTTGTCAGAGATCAGACAGTTATAGATGTGTAGCAGTGCCTCCAAGGCCTCTGTTCTGTTCCATTGGCCTATATCTCTGTTTTGGTACCAGTACCATGCTGTTTCGATTACTGTAGCCTTGCAGTATAGTTTGAAGTCAGGTAGTGTGACGCCTCCAGCTTTGTTCTTTTCGCTTAGAATTGACATGGCTCTACAGGCTCTCTTTTGGTTCCATATGAAGTTTAAGGTGATTGTTTCCAGTTCTGTGAAGAAGGTCATTGGTAGCTTGATGGGGATAGCATTGAATCTGTAAATTACTTTGGGCAGTATGGCCATTTTCATGATATTGATTCTTCCTAACCATAAGCATGGATGTTTCTCCAACTGTTTGTGTCCTCTCTTATTTCGTTGAGCAGTGGTTTGTAGTTCTCCTTGAAGAGGTTGACTGGATAAACAACGAAATGAAGGCAGAAATAAAGATGTTCTTCGAAACCAACAAGAACAAAGAGACAACATACCAGAATCTCTGGGACACATTTAAAGCAGTGTCTAGAGGAAAATAGAGAGCAATAAATGTCCACAGGAGAAGCAAGGAAAGATCTAAAATTGAACTTCTTAATGCAACTACCCTGATTACCCTATCCCCACCACAAGCCACTCCACCCCACACAACACTGACTCCCCTGATTTCCTCTTCCCTTGCCCATTTTTCCCATAATATTTATCACCTAACATAACTTATTATGTTTATTACTTCTTATCTGCCTGCCCTGCTAGAATGTAAGCTTCACAAGGTCAAAGTATTTTGAATGTTTTGTTCACTGGTATAGCCCAAATGCTGATAACATATTCTTCAACTGACAAGGTCATAGATAAACAATGTGAAAACTTTCAGGTATATGATATTTCAGACATTATTCTATGCCTCTGCCTTATTCCATTATGTCTAAAATCACCTTTTAGTTGCAGCCAGGCATGGTGGCTCACACTTATAATCCCAGCACTTTGGGAGGCCAAGGCAGGTGGATCATCTCAGGTCAAGAGTTCAAGATCAACATGGCCAACACAGTGAAACCCATCTCTACTAAAAATATAAAAATTAGCCAGCATGATGGTGGGTACCTGTAATCCCAGATACAAAGGATGCTGAGACAAAAGAATCACTTGAATCCAGGAGTCAGAGGTTGCAACAAGCCAAAATCATGCCACGGCACTCCCACCTGGGCAACAGAGTGAGACTCCCTCTCAAAAATAAATAAAT